ATAATAACTAGGTTATAAACGGCTTTACGTAGTTTATAATCCTCTTTATAAGCGCTTATATATATTATAAAAGTTCTTAAGCCTTTAATTCTTAATAGCTCTTAATAAAACGCTAGAATATATAATAAATAAAGTACTAATTACGAAAAAATAATTCTTAATATTAAAATTAACGTTAATAAGGAACCCTTATAATAAACCTCTATTATTATATAAAAATAGAGCTTATAAGAACTATTTTATTAAGTACTAAATAAAGCTTTATTAGGTTTTAGATATTTAAACTAGGCCCATAGACCTCTATAACGCTTTAATAATAATATCTTTATAACGCTCTTATATTTAAATATAAAAAACGGTAATTACTATAACCGTCTTTAAAACTACTTTTTCTCTACTTTTATACCTAATTAATAAAAAGCTATAAAGAAAAGTAATATAAGATATATAATACTTTATTAAATAGTAAAAAGAGTAGTTTATAAGACCTACTTAGAGCGCTCTAGAAGAGTTTAAAAACTACGACTTACTAAAATTAACTTCTAGAGCTTACTAAAGAAGTTTAGTAATATTAAATATCTCCTACTATAATTATAAAAGCTACTTAGGGATATTATAAACATAAAAATAAAAAAGCTAAGGGATATTAATATATAAAAAGAGGTCGACCGTAATCTTAAATAAGGGATCCTATTTTTATTAAAATAGGTATATATTTATAAGTATAACGTTAATAACGAGGTTAGTAAGGTAAAGGTACGTATATATATAAAGGGGAATATATAACTACTTAACCCCTTATAAAATACGTACGCTTCGATACTTATTATAAAAGCCTTTAGGCTTATAATAGTAATAGCTACCTAATTCGACCTTAAAATAAACTAATATAATACTATTAACGCATTCCTTAACGCACCTCTTAAGAATAAAAAGCTAGTAATTATTAAACTCCTAAAGGGATATAAAATTACTAATAAAGTAAATAAGCTTTAATACGCTTTATATAGCCTCCGAGATTTACTAATTCTCTAGTTCTAAACTTTTATTTTTATATTTTATAATATAAATATAATATATAGCTATAAGGAGATTTATATTTACTAAATTATAAATAAGAAAGTAATACTAATATTTTACGTTAACGACTTTATTATTTTATATTATTAAAATAACTAAAAAGTAGCTTAAGGGATCGTTAATAATATAAAAACATATATTAACCTTAAAAAGAATAGACTAATTAATTACTTTTTTAGAGTGCGGATTTTATAAAACCGTATTACTTATAAGGTTTACTTTATTTATAATATATATATTAAGTAAGTTACTAAGCGCTTCGACCTTATAAATTTATTATATTTAGTTACCCCTCTTCCTTAAGAAGAGTTTAAACTAAACGAGGGCTAAGTAATAAAGGAGGAAATAAAGAGCTACTAAGAAAAAGTCGGGAGTATATTTTATATAGCTATTATAATTAAACTAAACATTACCTTTACTTATTTATAATTATTATAGTTCCTAACTAACCTAAGCGTAACCTATATTAAAGTAATTAATTACTATATCTAATATCTTTATATAACGAGATATCTTACGCTTTATTATAGTAATATACTAAATACGTAATTATTACTTTTAACTAAAAATACTAGCTTTATAAATAACGAGGTAATACGACGATTATCTTAAGAATATATAATATTCTTTTTTAGTAACCTAATTTAATAAAAATTAGTACGCTAAGTAACGGTTATAATATTAACTACTAAAGCTAAGCTTCTTTATTTTAAAGAAACTATAAAAAAAACTATAGCTCTAAAGCGCCTTTTTAAGGATATTACCCTTAACCTAAGAGAAGTATAGTTAGTTAACTACGATAATTAATAAACGATTCGATTTATTATAAAAAAAAGAAAAAGAATAGCTACTTAACTTTACTATATTAATATATAAAATATATAACTAAAATAAGAGCACGCTAAAAATAACTTTAAGGTTACTTATATATTAATAAAAAATATACTAATAAATAAACTTATTAAAAACCTTTTACGAGCTAAGTTTAAATATTTCTATATACTTCTTAACCTCTATAATACGCGAGAAGCTATTATAAATAGCTAAAATAGTTAAAAATAATTAATTTAGGCTACGCCTAAAAAAACTTAATATTTAAAAGTAAATAATAAACGGAACTTAAAGTATAGCCTAAAGGTTTAAAATAAATAAAATAAAAACTTTTTATAGCCTAAAGGCCTAAACTCCTAAAATAACTTTACTTTATAAGGTATACGTATATAAAAATAAAACCTAAGCTTATACTTATTATTTAAACTCCTAATTTATAAAGTATATAATTATTAAGAATATAGCGTTATTAAAGAGGAGGGTTAGTATACGTATTAAGAAACGTATTTTACGTATTTCGAAGTTTATAAAACTAAGAATAGCGGGGGTAGCGGGGGGTATAAGAGCTAAAATAATTATTAAGTTAACGATTTAAAATATAAAAACGGGTAGTATAATAAAAAGTTAGTTATAAATAATTACGATAAGTATAAAAGAGGACCGGGGGTATAAGTTAAAAAAGTCCTCTATATAAAAACTAATATAGTTCTTATATAGCCTCTAGTTTTTATCTATTTAGCGGATAATACTATAAAGCTTAATAATATTTTATTAAAACTATAATTAGAAATACGCTTTTTAATAATAAAAAAGGATAATATACTTATAAAAGAGGGAATATTATTTATAATAGCCTTAGTAAGGGCCTAGGCTATTAGTTATAAAATAATTAATATATTAATATACCCCTCGGCTAAATAGCCGTTAAAATAGCGTATATACTAGCTATTACTTCTTATAAAATAATAACTACTATCCTTAGGGTTAGTATACTAAAGGACTATTTTAAAATAAAATAAGTACTAAATCTCCTATTTTTTAAAAACCTCTCCCTTAAGCTTCTTAAGAACTAAATATATATTAAATAGGCTTAGAATAGTAAAAAGAACTATACTTACTACGGGGGGTACTTTTATTTCTTAGTATTCTTTTTTACTTTTTATTACCTTTTTAAAAAGAGCTAGCCTTACGTTTTTTAAATTTTAAAATAATATTAAATATAAACTTTTAAAATAATAAGTATATAATATACCTTTTTTAAAGGGCTTATTATCTAAACTAGTTTTATCTTTATTCTTAAACTCTAAGGGGGGGATAGGTAAAAGCTTATTAAAGCTCTTATTATTATTATTTATTTTATTATTATTTTTATTATAATTATTAAAAAGAGCCTCGAACTTAATAAAATCCTTAGTATCTTAATTAATAGCCTTAATATCCTCTTAGTTAAAAAAGGAGAGCTTAGTAGCCGGGCCTTAATAAGTAAATAAGAGGTCGCGGGGGGGAGAGATAATTTAGAGGGGCTCGTTAGTATTATTACTTATTTAAACTCTTAGTAAACTATATAATACGTATATAAGAAGTATTATAGAAATTATATAAAACTTATTATTATTTCTAAATATATTAGATATTTATATTTAGAATAAAATTAATAAATAATTTAATAATATAAGTGCGCGCGTAGTAGACGGGGGTACTTACGATAACTATAAAAAGTTAAAAAGAGAAAAAAAAATAATAACTAAGTAACGCCGTAAAAATTTAAATATACATAAGGTAACTAAGTAGCCTTACCCTTAGTAATTTATATATTAAAAATAGTATAATATATACTATTCCGGGTTAAGATTCTATTTATTTTAAATAAAAAGATATATTTATAATAAACGTAGTTTAAAAAACGTATATCCCTTATACTTATTTTTCTTTTATTTATATTTAACTAAATTAGGCCTTTATAAGGGTATTTAGAGATTTTATTTTAAGTATAATAGCTCCCTAGTAATAATAATTAGGGGGTATATTATATAATAAGGATAGTAATTATACCTTACGAAGTACTTATTACGTACTAAATTACGTATTTATTTTAAATATCGTATATATAGACCTTTTCTTTTTGTTTATTTCTACTTTAATAATTAAGCTACTTTTATTATACTCCGTATGCCTATTACTGCGTACTATAACTCGTAATACATTGCGAGGGGCCTAGCCTACCGAAAGATCATTTGAGCACTAGATGCTTTACTGTAGATAGAGAGGGCCATACTATGGATTTGAAGACTTGCTAGCTTTTACAGAGCTTTGAACTTACGAGGTGTTCGTTACTCTTGGGCGGTTCTATGAAAGGCACAAAGGAAGCTTCGGATACTAGATCCCCCTGATTGTCTCTCGGACGTTTGCTTTACGAAGCGCTGTCAACCAAACTGTCAAAAAGCACTGATGCAAATCCTACACTTGGTTCTTGCACCACTGTTCATCTGGATGAAAGCTGATTCCGCGGGTGTCTCACGCCAAGTTTATCAGCGGCTGCAAACCGTGGACGATAACTTGTCTTCCCCTCACATCCGAATGTTCCCCCTACCTTAGATCGGATGGCTGAAGTTGGTGGGCGGCTCTGCTTAGCTATGCACGCAGATAACTCTAATCTTCGGATCTCTTACTCAGAGACTTTTTCTTTGCGTGATTTAAGCCTTTGCAGATCATAGTTTCCTTCCATGGATAGCCTTGCGAAGGGGTTGACTTTTGGTACTGAGCGGCTGACTGGATCATCACCACACCTCGCGTTGTCGTCCGCATCTCGCGTTGCCGTATTTGCAACTCACAAAGTGCAAGTTATCCCCGAAGCCGAGTTCAGCTGGGCGCAACTCAGCCGCGGATTACTATGGACAAGAAGTAACTTGGAGACATCGTTCTTATTTTACGCCAACGGCAATTTCATTCATCTCGAGTATAAGTACGTTGTTCTCGGTTCACCTTGATTGTTTATTCTTCATCACATCCTCACCTTTAGTGGATTGACTCAAGCATCACTTCAATAACTCAACTTCGAACCTTTAATTTCATTTTTCAAATCTGCAACTATGCATATCCCGTCTTTCAGCCAAACTGCCACGATTGGCATGGCTTTCTATGCCATCGCTGCTGTAGCTGCACCAGTAGCTCAGCCAATCGCCGAGCCTAGGTTCGAGACAGGTGACCTTATCGAAGTAAGTCTGAAGCTATCCTATTTACTCGTGTTCGGAAAGATTCTGACATTTAGATAGCGTTCTCCGGAGGCAGCTGTAAGTACATGTAACTTCTAGGAGAGCACATCGTCCCACTCGCCTTATATCTTGATTGCTATCCCTTCCGGGCATCATTTTCCCTCATAAGTCACTCACCGACTATTTGCAACAATGATAGCCTGATGTTGATTTACCGGTATGACTCCTTCTCAAGAATCAAAGAACTGCCGTGCTGATATCGTAACCCTCAGACCCTACGCGACGCCATCGTCGCTCGCGATGAACCAAGCGAAGGATCCCAACTCGAAGCACGCGACGACAAGAAACAAAACAATCAAGATCAATACCATAATAACAGCAAATGCAAGCGCGGTAAGGGAGGCGGCAGAGACGAGGGTTGCGACTACGGCGACTACGGAGGCTACGGCGGTGGCAAGGGAGGCGGTGGATACGGCGGTGGCGGCTACGGAGGTGGTGGGTACGGTGGTGGTGGATACGGCAACGGAGGCGGCTACGGCAATGGCGGTGGCTACGGCCACGGCAAAGGCGGCCACGGTCTTCAGGGCTCCGACGAGGCAAAGAGCGATCAGAAGGACAACGACCTCGGCAAGCGAGACGAGGCCGGTCTTCCCGGTGAAGATAAGAACAAGGAGGGTGGAGTTGATATTCTAAACAATAAGGGCGGCGGTGGTGGCTACGGAGGATACGGCGGCGGAAAGGGTGGAGGATACGGTGGCGGCGGGTACGGTGGAGGTGGGTATGGTCACGGGGGCGGCGGCTACGGGGGCGGTGGCTACGGCAACGGCGGGTACGGCAACTGCAAGGGTGGATACAAATGCGGCGGAGGGTACGGTGGTGGAGGGTACGGCGGCGGCGGGTACGGCGGTGGAAAGGGAGGCGGATACGGTGGTGGCTATGGCGGCCACGGTCACTAATAGGGAAATGAGAGGGGTCCAGACGATGGCTGAGGTTCATCATCGAAGCTCCTTTGGAATCCCTTTGTCGAGAATGCTTGGGCATCGGCTTTACAAACACTCGGTTTTACTATTCCTGATCACCATGGTCTGGGTTGGAGGAAATTTGGCTACCAGAAAAGCTTCTATCAGATTATATTCAGTGTATATACTTGAACAAATCTCAATTCACTTGAATTTCACTCATATCAAATGCCACCTTTGCTCATAGTCTCTAGACATCATTTATTCCTTAGGTTAGTAATAACTAAAGATTAGACCTAATGCCCTGCTTCTCGGGTTTGGATCCACAGCATATTGGGACTGTCGAAAGTTGCGTTGCTTGTTCCCCGAAAGCAAGTTGTAGAACTTACTCGACCAAAATCTCCTCCAACTCCGTTGAGATCTCGTCCCATGCAGACTTAAACATCCTTCCCACGCCAGCCCGTTGAACAACCGGAACAGCCTTTGGATCTTGTCCCTTCGTGCCACTGCGATATATCAACATCACGTTGACAGCCTCCCAAGGCTTTTGGCTGGCATGGCTCGAGAGCTCCTCTCCCGAGAAGCCGTACGCGTCTGAGAGAACAACAAACTCATAGGGACCTCCCAGCTTCTGCCTATAGCTTTTGGGCATCAGGATAGACCCAAGCCATTCTTCCTCGCCTCCTTCCTTCCGGGCGGCAGAGTGCGTGATACCAAAGCGCACAGGGTGTGGTTCCTTGACATCCGGCAGCGAGGGTGGCTTCAGGGCTCCGCTCCTATCGTGAAGAGTGAGCCTGAAAATCCCGACCCTGGTTCGTAGTCGTAAGTAAAAGTCGGGTTTTTCTAACGTCTCTTTTTTGTTCAGCTCAAGAGAGACGCCCCAGCCTGCTGGACGAACCCGATCGAACGGACTCTCGAGGGCCGGCAAGCCGTTCCAGTCGTCAAGGTCGTCAAAGCGAACGGCTCCCGTCCAGCCTGCCCATGACCATGACGGATAGAGAATAAGTGGCGGATCGGACTTGTACTTGACCACCCTGCTGAGTTCCTGTCGCGGCTGCCACAACAGAGAAAAAGCAAGCAAATCTTTTGCCCAGGTACCCCATACAAAGACCCCTTTGTACTCGGGCACTTTTTCGATGACGTTCAAGATACCCTTGAAACCATTGACGCGGTCATCTGTGTGACTCATCTCGCGTGACGTGTACTCCGTGACCATGCGATAGTAGAATTCGGGCGAGATGCCGAGGCGATACTGGTGGCGCCGGGTCAGAGTCGGCGGCGCCTCCCCGCGAGACAAGGTGATATTCTGCTGGGAGGCGCTCTGGGTGACATCGTCGCGAAGCATGTTGAAGTCTTCGCTGCAAGTCATCTGGCCGCACTGGAAGTAGACCATGTTGTCGGTGAAGAAGACGAGCCTGCGTGAGAGTAGTCGTTCCTGGTACGTCCAACCGCGCGTGTTCCAGTAAATTTGCTGAACCCCGTCCTCGAAGTCGGGGACGAGAGAGAGAAGTGTGAGGTCGGACGAGTACTCGGCGGTATACTGCTTCTTACTCCTGTCGATTCCAGGACTGCCGTATAGTCGAGCATTCGCATCTTCGCCATTGGCGGAAACAATCGTGAAAGAGGCTCTGCTATAGATAACGTCCATGAGTGCAAGCTGTACCGTATTGTCGTCATCGTTGCCCTTCTGAATGATGCAGAGTGAGTCGATCCACAGATATCGGTGACCGAGAAGGGTAGTCAGCTTGATGGAGTCTTGAATCGTCTTGGGCAGCTTGTCGAAATTGTTGCTTAGTCCGCCAGGCTTGAAGAGTTCGTCAATATTATCAGTTGTGAGTTTGTAATTCACTGCCCCTCTACCCCAGACGTAACTGAGTGCGACAAATTTAGGGAGATCAGACTTCTGTACGAGGCAATTGTCCTCGAGATCTAAAAGTCGAATGAATGGCTCAATGAGGCCGACCGCGTGCTCATCTTTGCGCCAGCAAACGATGTGGTGTTTCTCTTCGCAAGTCCGTAACCATGTCTTTAGAAGATCGCCGTCGATAGACCTCTCGTCGATGGATCTTCCCTTGAACATATCGTTCTCGGATTTGGTCGCCAGAGGAACAATATCAAACGGGGCGAAAGCGTCCTCCCATCCCACCATCTCCGGAGCAATCCGTAACCTCAGTGTGTTCATCGTAGGCTTCTCTGTGTCCTTACTGTCGGTCCCCTCAAAGGTCACATCCGGGACCCAACAGCCTAGAACCTCGACGTCGTCTTTGTAGTTGTTCGTAGAGACGGATGAGGCGATCATCTTGCAGAACCTGCAGTAATCGCTCCGTTTGATAACGTCTGATAAAGTACCAAAGTGCCAGTCGGGCGGCAGGGCGTGTTTCTGAGGCCTAGCTGCAAAATCGGACTGTTTAAGGTCCATGACGCGGTGTCTTGAGCAGAGATGCAAGCTGGGTTCCTCGGGCGGGAGCTTCACGTCGCGATCCCATGCCCTTGAGGACGATCCTGGCCCCGCTGTGAAGCCATTGCTTGCCGAGTCCCCCAGGTCGAGTCTCATCGTTGGTGTTGCCTGTGGTCACGCAAGAAAGATTCTGTGCGAGCAGCTTCGTGAATAGCAGCACTGGTCGGAGGATATTGGGGAAGAGGGAAGAATCCGAAAGTGCGGGCGCTGACATTGATGAGCATTTCAAGCTGGCAATAACTGAGACCTACCGATTTAGCGCCATGACTGCATCGCGGGGTAATCAACCTATGAGACCGGAACCAGCAGCCCGTAGACCCAAGATGAAGCGCACAAGAACATCGATTATGTCTCTCTACGGGGTTTGGCTTGGATGATCGTCCAACGTATCTCTACACTAAGCTTCAATCAGACTTGTCTTGCTTTCTGGTGGCCAAGCCGTCCCCAAGCGCAGCAGCCAGATCGTCGATCGTCGTCCCCCGTTTCCTCTCCCCAACCTTCTCGGTACCTAGGACGGGATCATCCGCCATGGCCTGATACAACTCCGCCATGCCGCGGAACACATCATTCTCAGCCTCAAAGCCGCCCTCGGCGCGATGGGTATCGGAGATCTCCTCCATCTCCCGCACCCACCGGTACGACTTTGGCGGCACAAGCGGGACAGACTTTTCAGCAAAATCGAGCAAGCCCGGCGCGGCCTCACTCATCTCGTTGCGCAGCTCATCCACGACACCGAGCTTGGACGCTGTGGTGAATGCCTGAATCGCCAAACCCATGAAGCCCTTGGTCGTCGTCGCGAAGCACATCTTCAACCCGCTCGCTGCGCCGACCTCGGTTGAGATGTGGCGCATGTTCAATGCCTCTGCGAGCTCTGCGCATACTTCGCTGATGGGATAACGTCCGGATGCCGGCATGCTTGGGACGTACCATTGCCCCGCTGCGCTATTGAGCTTGAGATTTGGCGGCCCGCCGATGATGCAGCCATCGACAAAACGGACGGGACTCTTGGCGTCTTTGAACATCTGGCTCATTTGCTTGCAGGTGGCTGGCGAGACGGCATTGAGGTCGATGAAGTAGAGCGGCTTTTCTAGTTTTGTTGTTGCTGCCGCGTCGATGATGCGTCGAGCGATGCTGAGCGCGTCTCGCGGTGGTGCGACGGAGAGGATGAACGGTCGCGACTCAACAAGGTGAACGTCGGAGCTTAGGACCTCAACGTTGGCGCTGCGGGCTCTGGCGATTGTTGCCGGGCTGTCATGATGTAAGCCCCTAGCTAACAGAAGAAGGCCCTTCTCAGAATAAGTTCGATTTCATTCTCACCTCCTACCTTGACCATTTGTGGCGACTGAGAAGCCTTTGGAGACAAGCAGTTTGGCGATGCCCATCCCCATGTCTCCGACGGAAAGGATCCCAATCTTTGGGAGTGAGAGCGTCATGGTGAAAAGCGGCACCGAAGCCCTACAATGTATCGCAGTCGATGATTGATTGATAGTGACGCCCTCAAGGATGATTGCGGATTATGCCAAGCTGGCGGGCACTCGCGAGTTTGGTGATGATGATGAATGAGCAGTGTTGCGAGGCGGGCACCCCGCCAACTCTCGCGGATCGTATCAGAGGCGATTGCTAAGCTGGGTGGCTCGGTAACTATGCGATTGCTAAGCTGGCTCGGTAACTATTCCCGAGCCACCCAGCTTAGCAATCGCCTCTGATACGATCTTCAGCCACATATGGCACCTCAATGTGAGCTTTCTTGCGCTTATTTCTCATTTCTACTTATGAATGGAGTATCTCGTTGTGGAATTGCCGTAGCAATCCCATTCATCTTACGGTGCTACAACAGGGTGCATTGAGTGATTGTCGTCTATATTCCAAGATCAACATCCTTTAGTCAAGCAACTTCAACTTGCACATAGTCCTAACTAAGTTGAATAACCAATCTCCAATTCGTCCAGCAACGAATGCCCAAAATGCCAGGATCGCATCTCGGACTCACCACAATCAATTCTTTGGCTCAAACTTCAACCTCAAAAGCCCCTTGGCATTCCTCCACGCAATCCCCTCCCACTCATCCTCACTCACAAGCCCGCTCCCCTTCAGCTTATTCATAAATTCCTTTCCCGCATCATTACCAGCAAACGGATAATCAACACTAAACATGATTCTCTCAACCTTTGTCTCCTGCAAAAGACACGCCATCGGCGCCAGCGAAAACATGCCACTCGTCGTAATCCACACATTCTCGTCCCATACCTCTCTCAGCCCACGCTCTCGCTCCCGACCCCCGGGTGCTGGCCACCTCGCAGACATACCGATGATGCGATCCAGCATGAAGGGGAGCATCTCGCCCATGTGGCCGAGAACGATTTTGAGCTTCGGGAATTTGTCGAATACGCCGGCAGCGAAGAGGCGGAGGAAGTGGAGACCTGTTCGGGAGTGCCAGCCCCACCCCCAGCTCCCCAACGCCTTTACAATCTCGGGGTCGTAGGGGCCGTGGAAGTTGACTTTGGATTCCTCATCGGATGGGAATGTTGGATGGAGGTAC